TTACTGAACTAATTGAATATTATACATTAGTAATGTTATGTAATCTATAAACTCTTAAGTAACGTTAATTAATTCATTGGAAGAATGGTATTTCGAGCACAAGAAAAGTTGATTGATTTACATAATAATGCTAGAATCTTTGAACAGTTTGATGAAAATATTGCTTTAAAACTATAAAAAAGAAGTTTTGATAAATGAAGAAAATTGTAATTTAATTGATATCAGATGAGTATATTGTGAACGCATATATAATTACTAAACTAATTGAAGATTAGACATTAATAATGAATGTTATGTAATCTATAAACTCTTAAGTAACGTTAATTAATTGGTTAGAAAAATGTTATTTTGAGAAGAAGAATTTTATATAATAAAGCTAGAATCTTTCAACAGTTTGATGAAAATGTTGCTTCAAAACTTAAAAAAAGTTCTGAAATGAGTATATTATGAACGCATATATTATTACTGAACTAATTGAAGATTAGTAATGTTGTGTAATCTAAAAACTCTTAAGTAACGTTAATGAATTCATTAGAAGATGATATTTCGAAGAGAAGAAATGTTGATTTATATATAATAGAATACCTGAGGAGATGGGTCTCATGGGACATGTCATGATGTTCTCGCATCGTTGCCCATCGATGTTGAACTCTTCGTTCTCTATGTAGAGTTTGATGAAGGGTAGTCGCGTGTTCAGGTAGTACCTGCAGTTGAGATTCCTCGGATAGACGCCGGGAAATGCAGGTGATTGCACGTAGCAAGTCTGCAATCGGCAATCCCTGAAAATCCTCTCACAGTACGACCTGCAGAAAGTTCCCAGAAACACAATTAAGATTACAGTTAAAAGAATAATTTAAAGTTCTGACCCTTGCACGACTTCGCCTCTCCGATTAGGATACAATTCTGGATGTTGCCCGTATCTGAGGTAAACCACAAGCTGCTGCTCAGCCCTCGTGTCGAAGCTGAAGTACGTCTGATCGGTGAAGTTGTCCGTGTGGAAGACGACCTTCACGAAAGACGTCTCCGACATGAAGGTCTGCGGCTGCTCGCTCTCCCCGCAGAAGGTGCCCGGCTCTTTCCGATTGGACACGTCCGTTTTGGCGTTACCATCCACGATCTGCAGCAGCAAAGAAAATATATATTAAATAAAAAGAAAAGAGAAGAAAAGTCGACGCTCGAGTATAGAAATCACGTAAACAATTGGTCGACGCGGTTTACCAGAGGGGAGAGCAAAAAGCGCGCACGGAATGCCGATACGCTTCATTTCGTGTAAGGTCCGTCCTTCCTTATTCACGTCAAGAGGCCAAGAAATGGAAACTTGTCGAGGGATATAAAATATATCTATAGAGAAATAAATACTAGCCTTTCCAACAACAACAGTAGAAAAACGTAACATAATACATAACGTCTGCGAAAGGGCCTAAATATACGTGTCTGGAATCTTCCCCATACATTCTTTGTGTTACGTCTCTTGAGAAATCCATACAACATATCTATCTATATACGGATTGTAATTTTCCGCGGATTTTTGGAGCGGCCCTGGATCGAATGAAAACATGGAATAAGTGGATAAATGGCTTTGGATTCGCTCGCTTCTATTTATTAAAACATACGATGGCCATTTGTCTTCTCCCACCGGTGAGAGTTGAGGCAAATAAAGAAAGAAAAAAAATAAAAGAGGCTGCGAAATCTTTCTTCTTTTTTTTTTAATACAATCGAGACCGCCCGGAGGCCTCATATTGGAGAGAGCAATTTCTCCTCTCTCGGAATCAAATTAATCCGTGTAAACGACTGCCCGAAACGAACGAACGAGAGAATAAAAACGACAACGAGTTATAATGAACACTTTTTTTTACAAACTAAATTGTTTATTATTTCCGAAGCACACAGACGCAGACAGATTTAATTAAACGATTCTATAATTCTTTTCGATTGATGTTAAAAAAAAATGTTATTTTGTAGTTAATTTATTTACAATCAATGACTAAATTACTCTTTTCTTTGAACAAATTAAAATCTTTAATGGTAATATTAATTTGTTAGGTCTGAATTCAAGGAAAATCATTGTAAAATATTAATTAATACAAGAAAATTACAAGTTTTTCAATATGTATTTTTTTTCAGTTTGTCATAAAAGAAGCGTTACTATTTGGAAATTTTATAACTTTTTTCATTTTGAGGTTAAGTCTATTGTGGTTTAATAATCGTATATTTTGGACTATCTATATATAATTAAGAAAATAAAAATTATATTTATGTAATTCTAATTAAAAGTTATTTACAAACAAAATAGTAACGTTTCTTTAATGACAATTTGTATTCCAATATACACTTGGTTTTCTTTTTATGCGGTAGATACGTTCCACAGAAACGAAGTAAATTCATTTTTTTTTATAAATGTTTATATTGTGACTACAATAATTCAACAAAAATGAAGTAGTATTATATTTTATTAAGATTATGTAAGAAATACTCTCATAAATTGCCTAAATATGTTTGGTCAAATACCATAAAATATCTTGTTTTTCCTTTTGGTGGATCATCAGACCATCAACCAATCGCTCCTTCATCTCTTCACTTCTGATACATTTTATCATCTATATTCTATCACATTCAATTAGTTAAAAAAATATTACATATTTCGACATTGGATGCATCCTGTTCAATAAAAGGACTTTTTTTGTACAATTAACGCTTAATGTATATACAATTTATTATTCATTGTAAACTATTAATTAATACAAGAAAAATAGAAGTTTTTAATATTTTTTTTTCAGATTGTCATAAAAGAAGCGTTACTATTTGGAAATTTTATAACTTTTTTCATTTTGAGGTTAAGTCTATTGTGGTTTAATAATCGTATATTTTGGACTATCTATATATAATTAAGAAAATAAAAATTATATTTATGTAATTCCAATTAAAAGTTTTTACAAACAAAATAGTAACGTTTCTTTAATGACAATTTGTATTCCAATATACACTTGGTTTTCTTTTTATGCGGTAGATACGTTCGACAGGAACGAAGTAAATTCATTTTTTTTATAAATGTTTATATTGTAACTACAATAATTCAACAAAAATGAAGTAGTATTATATTTGATTAAGATTATGTAAGAAATACTCTCATAAATTGCATAAATATGTTTGGTCAAATACCATAAAATATCTTGTTTTTCCTTTTGGTGGATCATCAGACCATCAACCAGTCGCTCCTTCATCTCTTCACTTCTGATACATTTTATCATCTATATTCTATCACATTCAATTAGTTAAAAAAATATGTATTTTGCATCCTGTTCAATAAAAGGACTTTTTTTTGTACAATTAACGCTTAATGTATATACAATTTATTATTCATTGTAAACTATTAATTAATACAAGAAAAATAGAAGTTTTTAAATTTTTTTTTCAGATTGTCATAAAAGAAGCGTTACTATTTGGAAATTTTATAACTTTTTCATTTTGAGGTTATGTCTATTATGGTTAAATAATCGTATATTTTGGACTATCTATATATAATTAAGAAAATGAAAATTAAATTTATGTAATTCTAATTAGAAGTTATTTACAAACTAAATAGTAATGTTTCTTTGATGACAATTTGTATTCAAATATATTTACAAGTTTTGTATTGTATTGATACTTACGTAAAGAGCAAATACATGAAGTTGATAATTTTTGATAGTATACACTTATGAGTTTATAGTACAAATATAATAAGGAAATATAAATTTAGAAGTCTAGAAACAATGAAAATTTGTATTCAATTTTTTTTTAGAAATTTATATTATAACTACATTAATTCATAATATTCAACAAAAATGAAGAAGTATTATATTTTATTAAGATTATGTAAGAAATACTCTCATAAATTGTCTAAATATGTTTGGTCGAATACCATAAAATATCTTGTTATTCCTGTCATGTTATTTTATCATCTGTATTCTATCATATTCACTGATTGTCGATTAATTCGACAAATTAGTTAAAAAACCATTACATATTTCGACATTAAACGCATCCTGTTAAATAAAAGGACTTTTTTTTTAACAATTAATGCGTCTGCATAATGTATATACAATTTATTATTCAATATTATATAGTCTGTTATGTTTACATTAAATTGATGTAAATTTCCTATTCGAACAGTGAACATGTTATTACAATATGAATATGTATGTTTTACAATAGTCCTTTGTTTTTAAACTAAATACTAACACTAAATAGTATTAATACATGAAAAGTTTCAACAGTTGAAATCCACGTTTTATGAAATTTTGCATTATGTAACAGTGTAAGTTGGAAAATATAGTTTGCGGATCAGCTAAAAATGATTTCTGTAAGCTGATTCGCGGTGCTGCGCATCTGTAGGGAAAACGCGGTGTGTGAAAATGGAAAGGATTAGCAGAGCATTAAAAAAAGAGAGAAAAGGATTTAAGGACGCCATCGAATGTCGAAGCGACGTGTCAAAATTGAACCAAAAGAAGAGAATGAAAAAAAAAACAATAATAGAGAGGCGAAATGGAAACGTGCATTCGCTGGGATTAACATCATTTCAATTTCGCATACGAAAAATCAATTTCCGAGGGGGCGAAAACGGCTTAAATATGCACGAAATACGGTTTAGGAGTATTAAAATTTTAATTGAACCGCATTACTATTTTAAATGCGAATTAACTGCAAGTTTATTTTTGGGCTTAAAGTTTCGCCGTTTTCCACGAAAAAGCCAATTATGCCGTCGCTTCACGCTGACGCTTATTTGTTTACGTCCCAGAATTGCGTAAATAGAAAGTTTCGAAATGTTATTTCGTGGTAGATTCGAATAACAACAATAACTGTAAAGATCCACTCGCTGCTTCTTGTATATTTATGCTGCAATTCTTGATGCATTTGGTCTTCGGTTAGAAGGAAAACAGCCAAGAGCGTTTTATTGCATGTGTGTACATTTGATATATCGAATCACTCAGATTTACGTTTACTTAAACGTATATTTTTTTTAGTTTTAAATATTTATAAACGACTGTGGGGAAAACTGATAAATCCAAACCTTAAGCTTGATGAATTGTATAATTTAAATGAAAAAGATATTTATAAACCACAATTATTCATAATATTCAATAAAAAAAGAAGTAGTATTATATCTTATTAAGATTATATAAGAAATAAGTACTAGAAACTGTAAAAAAAACTCTGAAAATGAAAATATAAGTTTTCGAAAATAGATCAAAAACTATTAAATTTTTCTTAAATTTAATACTGAAATTTGTACATATTTAACCAAAATGTAAAATTTTCATGTTTTTTTCTTAGTGAAGATAAAGATAATAAAATTGTTTATTTTCTTTAATTTAAGTCAATAAAGTAGCTGAAGAAATACACAAAGTTTGTAAAACAAAATTGTTTTTCATTTTGAGGTTAAGTTAAGTGGTTTAATAATCATACATTTTGGACTATCTATATATAATTAAGAAAATAAAAATTATATTTATGTAATTCTAATTAAAGGTTATTTACAAACAAAATAGTAACGTTTCTTTAATGACAATTTATATTCAAATATATTTACAAGTTTTGTATTGTATTGATACTTACGTAAAGAGCAAATACATGAAGATGATAATTTTTGATAGTATACACTTATGAGTTTATAGTACAAATATAATAAAGAATTATAGATTTAGAAGTCTAGAAACAGATAAAATTTAATTTTTATTTTTTTTTAGAAATTTTTATATTATAACAACATTAATTCATAATATTCAACAAAAATTAAGAAGTATTAGATTTTATTAAGAATATGTAGGAAAATATCTTGTTTTTCCTGTTGGTTTGATGTTTGATGTAAATTTCCTATTCGAACAGTGAACATGTTATTACAATATGAATATGTATGTTGTACAAAAGATATTTATAAACCACAATAATTCATAATATTCAATAAAAAAAGAAGTAGTATTGTTAAGATTATGTAAGAAATAAGTACTAGAAACTGAAAAAAACACTCTGAAAATGAAAATATAAGTTTTGGAAAATAGATCAAAAACTATTAAATTTTTCTTAAATTTAATAGTAAAATTTGTACATATTAACCAAAATGAAAAATATTTTTTCTTAGTGAAGAGAAAGATAATAAAGTAACAAAAATTGTTTATTTTCTTTAAAATAAGTCAATAAAGTAGCTGAAGAAATACACAAAGTTTGTAAATCAAAATTGTTAATATGAAAATTGTGTAAATTATGAATGTTTATCGTCTAATTCAG